CCCCAAAACCCCAAAACCCCAAAACCCCAAAACCCCTCAGTCCTTCAAAAGTATTGATTTTATTAACAAATATGTTACCTAGCCCAGCTACAAAGAAAAGGAGGATGAGCAAGCTCATCATCAGTCCACTTTCTAGGAAGAGCTCACTTGCTAAAGCTGTTTTTAATTCAGAGGTAAGCATCAAGAAACCATACAATAAGTGAAGATAAGAGGCTTTATATAATTTTATAAGCGTTCATATGAATCTCTTTGCGACTCTTCCCTTGATTAAATCAGAGATGTTGTACTGAAACATAAGAATATGCTCCAGCGCTTGTATTACACCTCCGAGGTATATAAAATATCATGGCTCCTTATACTGCCATACTTCTCTTATTCACATAAAATCTCCAACTTACGCATTGATGGGTATTATAATCTATCTCTAAACTTATCAACCTATTAACATAAAAATATATCACTGTGAGAAAAATATCTGGTTGGTCTTCCTAACTTTTAAGGAGTCTCAACCAGGTAGCAACAACTGAAATTTCTGTGGGGTTTACATTCAGGGGGTTGCTCTTCCAAATGTTATATTTGCTTGACATGATTTGTATAGGAGAAATTGACCTCGATGAAACGTAAATCCTCCTCCATACCGTATAATATACGGAACCTATCACCAGAGTTCCTAACCAAGATGAAGAAAAAGGATAAGTCACCCTTCAATCCTGGGAAAACCAAAAAGCCAAGTAGGTTTACTAAGTTATGACCTTTAGACTGCCTCAAAGACAAGATGTATTTCTACTACAACACTTATAACGAAGATTTTGGGTTCGACAAGCACATGATCTTCGATTCTCTCAGGTATGAGTTCCATGAAAAATACTTGTTATAGAGTAATCAGACATGTCGATGAAGAGTTCCCTGGTCTCTCAAAGCATCTTCAAGAACCTGATAGCAAACCCACACAAAAACAGGATACCTCCTCAGTGTAAATTTCTGCCATAAAATTTAGCCATGAGCATAAGAGAAAGAGTGTGACTTTTTCAGACCAAAAATAAGTCTCGTAGTTACAGAAAAGTTGAGATAAACGAGTGGACAAGGATTGCTGATTTCATCCTCTCTCCAAACCAAAATTTCTTCAAACAGTTTGTTAATTGCGTCAAGAAGTAAGGATACAGGAATAATTCTAAGATATTGGTCATCTTGTTCCAGATTTGTGCTTTATCTGACTTTGCATTAAACCTCTACATTTACATAAGATTTAAGCCTCAAGACACTGCTGCTGTTTGTTAATCACAGATCTAGATTCCAGACTTATGAGCAACTCTTGAAGAAAAAGGAACTATCTAAGAAATAAATCATGCATTCGGAAACAAAGAAGGGGAAGCAAGGCTTCAAGGAGGTTCAGCGCCTCCCAAAACTCAACTAGTAGTAAGAGGATCCCTATGCCACAAAATATCAGTGACCTCAAGCCAGTGTTTAAGTCTCCTGAGCTATCGAAATGTAATTTGATATTAAATATGTAGTCAAAGATGAAAGTTCAGCCAAATCGATCTCTTCATGAGATACACCAACTCGTGCCATAGAGAAATACAAGAGTATGCCTCAAGTTGTACACCAGAAGGACGGAGAGAAGAAACAAAACTCCATTAAAACGTAAGGCTCTAAAACCCTTTGATAAGCTCTCTCAGAACTTAATCTCTGGACCTTGTAATATTGATAATCTAGGTTGATAGAATTTCCTGTCCTACAGGAGAAATATAGAAAGACTCTCAAAAAGAGCACTTCTCCCAGAGCAGCACTCAAGAAGTTATCAAGGAATGCAACTTTGTTATCTCAAGAAGATAAACACAACACTAGGAATACTTATTCGTAACTGAAACTATTGACGTTATAGGAGATTTGCTCATACCATTGAGAGCTTAGAGAGCAAGAATACATCTTTGAAAATGATAACCAAAAGATTAATGAAGAGCAGGGTAATTTGGCCACTATGAGAATAGAGTGACTTAAGAGAGCTTCCAAGCCAAGCAATGACTCAAAGAATCAAGCCATCTTTGTTTACCAAAAATAAGGGAAAATCCCAGTCAGATTTAGGAGGTACTGGCAGGAATAAGATGCAGTTTGAGAAAAATTCCAATAAGTTAATTGTAACCTCATCGATCATCATATAGAATGAGCATTCAAAGAAGTGATTGGCCATTAGCCCCACTCCTTCATATCAGAGAAAGGCCCTAAATTTGGCTATTTACTCTAGGAATAACCCGAAGCCTCGTGCAACTTTTAGTAAGTTCTATCTCTGACCTCAAGGTTCAAGAAAAATAGAGAAGAAGGTTAGTTCACAAATGATGAAGAAATCCCAAAAGATGGAATCTTCAGAGGAGAAGCCAGAAAAGAGCCATCTTATTGATCTCGACCTAAAAGGTCTAAATCCAGGCCCAGGTGGTAGTAAGTTAATCTTGTTCATTCTTAGTTGAGAAGTTGAGTCAGTTGCAGCAATTGATAATAGATCGTCCGAAGTGAATCCTGAAAAATTGATATCAAATGTAAGATCTCCTTTTTATTCGTAGGAATCATCCAAATATGGCTCAGATACCTTTGATCCCAGCTCCAAAGAGAAAATTGATCAAGAAGAAGATGAAATTGTCACCATATAGGATTATCTAGGTAATAATTCAGCAACAATATTTTAGAGTGGGGTTTTGGGGTTTTGGGGTTTTGGGGTTTTGGGG